AATAAATAACTAAATCCTCATTTGTAGCCCCAATACTTTCCTAGTAAATTCCTGGGATCATAATAATGAGAACATATAAAGCATTACTATCTTTGAGGTTATCAGATGGAGGGACGCCTGGGTGGCTCAGTTGGTTAAGCATCCAACACTTGCTTTCAGCTCAGGTCATGATCTCACGGCTTCGTGAGTTTGAGCCCTGTGTTGGGCTCATTGCTGACAGTGGGGAGCCTGCTTGAGGTTCTCTCTCTCCCTCTCTCTCTGCCCCTCCCCCACTCATACTATCTCTGACTCTCCCCAAATAAATAAATAAACAAACTTAAAAAAAAAAAGACTATCAGATGGAGATAAATATTAGGAAGAAGATTGAAGTGGACAGGGCAAGCAGTAGAGAGGAGAGGGGGGTTGCTATAATAAAAAGGACTGTTAGGCAAGACCTGAGGAGGTAACTTTGCTCTGAGACCTGAATGGAAAGTGAGATTGAGCCATGGGGTGCCTGTGGGAAAGCCCTTCCAGGCAGAGGAATCTGCACGTGTTAAGGCCCTGAGTTGGGAACTTGCTTTGAGCATTCTAGGACATGAAGGATTTCAGTAGGGCTGGAGTAGAGTGAGCAGGGGCTACTTGGGGATTCTGAGGTGGGGAACTGATTGGGGGGCCAGACTGAGAAGGACTTTGTTAGCCTTGGTGTAAGGATTTGCGATTTTGTTCTAAGTGGGATGCAAGACCATTGAAAGATTTAGACCCAGAAAGTGACACGATCTGATCCCTTTGTGGACAATCAACTGTGGAGGCAAGTATGGAAGCAGCAGACAGCCCAGGTAGAGGCTGCTACTGAAAGGGGTTGCTAAGAAAGGGGATAATGGTAGAGAAGCAATAGCAGAAATGCCCCATTCTCTGCAAGGTGAGCAAAGATCAAACCACAAAAATAAAAACTATATGTATGTGTGTGTCTATGTATGTGTGTATAATTTTACTCTTTGGCATTTTGGTAGGAAAACTTCATTACATTGTCTAACTTTTCTATTAGTTGTGTAGGATAATTACTCAATTTCTAATTGCCATGTATCTCTTTTTTCCTTTATCTTTATGCTGTATTACCAAGGATGGAAATACAGGAAAAAAAGGAAAAAATACAGAAAAAAAAAGGAAAAAAATCCTTTTTACCAAGGAAAAAATTTTTTATCAATTTATGAGAGCTCGAGCTATGGAGATTAAGGTTCCTCGGATCATATTTTTTCCTTTCTTCCAGACTTTTAGCAAAGATTTTCCTAGTCTGTTGGCTATTTACTTTTGTGTATGGTTTATTTTTATATGTTTTCAATTTGAAGCCAAACCTCTACTTGGTTATGGTGGTTTTAATTTCCTCTGAGCTGAAATTCCTTCAGGAAGGCTTTCTTTGATGGGGTACCTGGGTGGCTCAGTCTGTTGTGCATCCAACTTCAGCTTAGGGCATAATCTCGGGATTCGTGAGTTCAAGCCCTGCATTGGGCACTGTGCTGACAGCTCGGAGCCTAGAGCCTGCTTCGGATTCTGTGTCCCCCTCTCTCTCTGCCCATCCCCCACTTGTGCTCTGTCTCTCCCTCTCAAAATTAAATAAATGTTATTATTAAAAAAAAAAAAAAAGGCTTTCTTTTATTTTCAGGTGCTGGGACTCCTTTGGTTTTGGTCTCCAGAGCCCTTTCTGGCTGTTAACTCTCTGGAAGTAATTTGCTTATGGGTCAGATTTGCCCAACATACTGACCGGCTATTTGTGGGGATCTCTGGTAAATGAAGACATGGGTGGGGACATGAGGGAGCAGCTTTCTAGGTACCACAAATAGCAAGAGTAAGGCAATTAGCAATCAGAAAACCAGGCAGTTTACACTCAGAGTTTCTCAACTAGGAGAGTAGAGTGGAACAGAAGCTCCCAGACCTAATTTAAGCAGACCAGTTTGTTCTTTCCAGTGTCATAGCCATGATGGCGATTTTAAAAGTCCATTCCTCTTTGCCTTACAGTAAGCATTTCATCCCAGATATTGGTGACAGTGTTACTCCCAGCTCTTGTTTTCTGGTGGCGATGTAGATTGACTTCTTTATTTCCATCTTACCCATTAACCATAAGATCCATGTAAGAAGAGGCAATGAGGGTTTTGTTGATCTCATTTTACCCAATTCTCAAGACCACCTCTGACATTCAGTGTGTGTTTGAATATTCATCAGATAAATAAATGAATGATTGCAAAATATGAGTGTCAGTGGGTAATGGAGGGCATTTTGCCACAGACTGGTGGCCAGGTGTGTTTTAAAATCCATTCCACTGCCCTGCTTTGTCACACTGAGCAGTGCTTTTGGGCTTGGGGTCATTATTAGCACCTTCCCATCCAGGCTGGAACATGGCTGAGCCCTCCAGGAACTCCTGGGGGTGGTGATCAGGCTTTCTTCTTTACTTCATGGTTGGCCCTGCACCACATTCCTTTTTCATCCCTTCTTGACAGTAAAAGCTGTTCTGAGACTTCTTTTGGCTGTTGTATGCCATTTTATTTTCTAAAATTGACCTCGTTGAGGGTAGCTTTTGGATGGTGATGATTTTAGGTATTCTAAACTCTCATTAATGGAGCGGTACTTGGGGTAAATTTCATTATAAAGATCATGGTAGGTTTTCTTCTTTCTTTTTAATGTTTATTTATTTTTGAGAGAGAGACAGAGACAGAGCATGAATGGGGGAGGGGCAGAGAGAGAGGGAGACACAGAATCCAAAGCAGGCTCCAGGCTCCAAGCTGTCAGCATAGAGCCCAGTGTGGGGCTCCAACTCATGAACCGCTAGATCATGACCTGAGCCAAAGTCAGAAGCTTAACTGACTGAGCCACCCAGGCTCCCCATAATAGGTTTTCTTATGACAGGTAAATCCCTTTTTATTAGAGACTGACAACAAATTGTTCTACAACTGTTGCCCCTTGTTTATTGGTAAATTAGAATTCTTTGGATTTAAACAGGAATGAGGTATCTTTTTATTTTTTTTAATATTCATTTTTGAGAGCAAGGGAACGTGAGCGGGGGTGGAGCAGAGAGAGAGGGGACAGAGGATCTGAAGCAGGCTCTGTGCCGACACCAGAGTGCCTGATGCGGGGCTCAAACCCACAAACAGTGAGTGAGATCATGACCTGAGCCAAAGTCGGACGCTCAACTGACTGAGCCTCCCAGACACCCAGGAATGAGGCATCTTACACTAAAACCAACTTTCAGTTATCTTCACCAGTGGTGGGCAGGGTATGATGCAAAGTCCCCCAGTGCATATGCTTCCTTCTATGTGATGTCTCTTTGGTGTAGCCACCACTCTTGCTTTCTGGGTTAAATTATGGTTATAATGCGTCTGTTCAATGTCTGTGTATATACCACATGCTGGTAGCTGGAGCTAAATGTTTATTGTCAAATGAGATACATGTAGTGCTACCAAGATGACACTAGGAAGCGGAGATGTTTGGATGTAGAAGCAGAGGACAGAATGAGGAAGGAAGGCGGTTTGTTCTGGGTGAAACTGGCTTGCCTGATAAAATAGGGGCACTAAGTGTGGAACACCCCAGCTGGGCGAGGATGAGGGGCTAGAGGAGCAGTAGGTTCCATCTGTGTCTTCTCTAGGTGCTGAAGGAAAGTGAAGGGGTAGTATGACTGCCTCAATTAAACGTCGATGCAGAAAAAGCAAGTCCTTATGAGTGCGGATTTGACCCGATAGGATCAGCCCACCTGCCTTTCTCCATCCAGTTTTTCCTAGTCGCCATTGCATTCTCATCATTTGACCTGGAAATAGCTCTCCTCCTGCCTCTACCCTGAGCCTCACGGACAAATAACCTGTCAACCATGCTTACCATGGCAGTTCTATTAATTTCACTGTTAGCCATAAGTCTAGCCTCTGAATGAACACAAAAAGGACTAGAATGGACTGAATATGACAATTAAAGTCAAGTGATTTCGACTCATTAGATTATGGTTAATACTATAATTATCAAATATCTATAGTGTATATCTTCCTGGCCTTCATCATATCCGTTATAGGACTGCTAATATACCGTCCCCACCTAATATCATCCCTTCTGTGCCTAGAAGGGAAGATAATATCATCTAGGCATAGAAGGGATGATATTATCTCTATCATAATAACTGTAGTAATGTTAAATAATCACTTTATACTAGTTAGTATAACGCCAAGGGTAGGATAAAAGTGGAACTAGAAAGAGGAAAACAGGTTATCCAGGAGTGATCTAGAGAAAATAAATCAAGATGGAAGTAGCTTGTGCCCAGAGGGTATTAAAAGTCCTCTCCTCCAGAAGAGAGGCTGGTCATTAAATGTGCCGGGCATCTAACCCACTGTCTGTTGCATCATTGAAAGAGTAACGCAATTGATCACCAAAGATATGTATCTCCAAAACTAGAGAATACCGAGATTTGAATTTAATTGCCTGTGATTGCCCAAATGTGTATTACATTGGCCTTTTATACATTATCACACCTTTCTTAAAATTTGTTCAAATGCAAACATGGACATGAAACCTTGTCTGACAGCATAATATCCTCTCAGCACAAAGTACAAGTTCTGCATGGATGTGTTGATTTTGTGAGCTGCATTTTGGGCTTGTTATAGACACATAGTCATTACCATCAGAGTTTGCACTAAGATGAAATATAATGAAATGACCTAATTGTAGTCACCTCTTTTCTCTCTTCCACCGCATTTCTTAAAAATGGGTCAAAGTCAGTAGGTATTTATGTTCCTTTCCTGCCTCCAGTTTATTAACTTGAGTGTTCATTTCCTGAATATACCAAATTTGCTAAATAAAAGGGATGGGAAATGGAATAAAGAGAAATAAAAAATCACTGCTGTGGCTCTAGAGGTTAGGAACGTCTGTCTCCCTCCCATACGCCGGAACTACCCACCTTCCAATTCCAGAAAAGAGGTTTGTTGGTTTTTTTGCTTGTTTTGTTTTGTTTACACATGACTGGTAAAGTGAACATTCCTTTCTTCTTATAGGTGGAATGGTTGAAAAATGAGGAGCCCATTGACTCCGAGCAAGATGAAAACATTGATACCAGGGCTGACCACAACCTCATCATCCGGCAGGCGCGCCTCTCCGACTCCGGCAATTACACCTGCATGGCAGCCAACATCGTGGCCAAGAGGAGGAGCCTGTCAGCCACGGTGGTGGTTTATGGTAAGACCAGCCCAAACGCCAGGAATGGATAGGGAGGACGGAAAGCAAAGTAGAGGGATTTCAGTGTGTAGAGCTGAAAGGACTTCAGGGCTCATCCACTACTGTGCTGTCTCCTGCCTCTCCCATTTGGTAGGTGAGAACATGTCCCTATTGCTAGTACTGTGTTTGCTCTCACCTCCAGTATGGGACGTCCACGAGATAGTGACATTCCCGATCCCTCCGACAGTGACATTTCCGATCCCTGTCTTTTAAAACTAATCTTAAAAGTTTCTTTTCTCCCACTGTGTTTATATTTGAAAAGAATTGAGGTGGGCAACTTCTGCTTCCCAGCCCTCCCAAACCCAGCATCCACCCCCAGCCTCCCCAGACCTGCTGTGGGCAGTTTTCTCTCCTGGCATAGGAAATGCCTTAAAAGCACACATCACTATTTGCTGAATGTCTCAGGTATTGCATTAAAAAACAAAACAAAACAAAACAAAACTTCCCGGCTATTTAAGTAAAGTCATTCCCCTCCACAGCCGAAGAGTCCTGGGATTGGGTTTTGAAGCATTTTAAGTAATAGAAATTCAAATGCTGATATTTTCTGCCTGTACGCTAGATTTTCAAGTGCTTTAGAGATAGGTTGATGAATTCATCCTATTTTTCCTAATTCCCCACAAAGAAAATCCTGTGTCCCTCTTGTGTCAGATGAGTAGACTGAGGGACAGAGATGAGGTAAGCCCCACTGTTGCCCCATGATCGAGTGGCCAGTGTGGGTCTGCAGGGTCTCTTGGTCCCTGGATGCCAAACTCACAACACCTTGGCACAGTGGCTAGCACATAGTAGGCAATCAGTAAAAACCTCTCTCCTTTTTTTCTCCCCTCCCCATTTTTCTCTCTCAGTGAATGGAGGCTGGTCTTCCTGGACAGAGTGGTCAGCCTGCAATGTTCGCTGTGGTAGAGGATGGCAGAAACGTTCCCGGACCTGCACCAACCCAGCTCCTCTCAATGGTGGGGCCTTTTGTGAGGGAATGTCAGTGCAGAAAATAACGTGCACTTCTCTTTGTCCTGGTGAGATATGTGTAGATTCCCTTTTCCCTTCTCATCCACCGACACGATTAAGCTGGTGTGAAGCACTGAATATAACCTTCCTTCCCAAAGTTATCCTCTCCCACGTTCTCAGAATGCAGCCTTTGTCCAAAGTGCTAATGTGGAACTCACTATAATAGCAAGAACGTGGGTGAAATACCTCCACTGGGGGACATATATATAGATGATCCTGGACACTCACCATCAGTAAGCCATCATGCTCTGAAGTGTCTCTTTACTAGCCGTGTTTGGTGGGGCTGAGCCATCTGCTTCTCTCCTTGGGTTCTCCCATCTGATGGCACAATAACTAGCAGGGATTGAGTTGTCTGTGAGCACAAAGCAGGTAGCAGACATCTGACCCTTTATCATCAATTACCAATCAACTCACCTTATCAGCTTTGTATTTGTTGACAGTAAAACCAGCAGAGATTGTACAGTATCACAGAGTTGCTATTTTGCATTTGGCCTATGTTTGCCTTCCTTTCTGAATAGACCCTTCCTTTACCAAATATGGCTTTTATAAGCTCTTTTGTTCATCTCTTCCTGGCTCTAGCCCAATTTATACAATGAGGAGTAGATGAGATGGAGATGACTTTCTTTATGGAAAGCATGTCCTCCCACTGAGAAACAAATTGATCCTAGGCCTCCCGTGCATTATAAAACATTAACTCCAAGGATGCTAGGCTAGAGCCTCGGGTCTTTAAAATTTCAGATCTACTTCCACTGAAAGCTAAGCTGAGGCTCTCACCAACAGCTTATTCCTGGAGTTTCCTTCCAAACTCCTATTCAGTCAACATTTATTGAGTGCTTACTATGTGCCAGGTACTGTGCAAGCTACTTTTATAAATGCGATGTCATTTAACTCTGTGTTGTGAGTTTTCTTACCCCCCAGTTGACAGAAATAGTAAAGTAAGTCAAAGGGATTGCTGAGGAGCCAATAAGTGAACACACTCAAGACAAGTTCTTGGACATTTTGCTTTCAAGTTCAGTATTTTTTTTTTTTTTTTGTTACCCTATTCTTGACTAATTGCTCTCGATTAAAAATTGCACGATCTTAACCCACATAAGCATGGTTGGACTATTCCTAGGAGGTAAAGGGACAATTGCCTCAAACAGCTGCCATTATCTCTAGGGTCAATTTTTAGTGGAATTAAAATTAGTTTGTTCGTTTCTACATACAGCAGCAATCCATGACCCATGAAATTCTATTTATGTTAAGTCCTGGTGTCTTGGGGCTTTGACTGACCTGTTTTACTTTAATACTGTCAAAATACATATAGGTTTAACTTTTTATTGTTTAGGGCTTTTAGGGCTTAAAGATAGTTCCTACTACTGTCTAGTTCTAAACTGTCAACCCACAAGGAAGTGGCGATTGCTAGTGGTTACTGCACATACTTTACCCGTCCATCTAAGACACAGCTGGGCATGAAAGACTGAGAATGGAATGGGTAATGACATTATTAGCCAATCCAAGAGCACTGATAATGCGAATGCTTGCCTAAATTCAGTAACTGGTCTCCTGAAATAGCAAGAGAATTACACCACCGCTTTTGTTAGCCTCCGTCTTTAGGAAGGAAATCACGGAGAGAAGATAAGCAGAATTATTTTGTTTTTTATGGTGGTGGTGATTTCTTTAAAATCCAGCTTTAAGGACAACAGCAGTCCTGGGGTGAGTCTCCTGACAGCTGCCCGATTCATTCTAACAAGGCTTCCATTTGTTTCCCTTAAAGTGGATGGGAGCTGGGAAGTATGGAGTGAATGGTCAGTCTGCAGCCCAGAGTGCGAGCATTTGCGGATCCGGGAGTGCACGGCACCACCCCCAAGAAACGGGGGCAAATTCTGTGAAGGGCTCAGCCAGGAATCTGAAAACTGCACAGATGGTCTCTGCATTCTAGGTAACACCTTCTGCTTCACATCTTCAATGTTTGTCCACAATATGAAAGGAAACATGGTGACCATTCATTTGCTTAAATATGTTAGCAGAAAGCAAAGTCATTTGCCAAGAGCAAAAAGGAAATGAGTGAAAAGAGTAGAAACGTAGGCACATACATTTGTAGTAGAGATGGGGTCATTTTAAATATTTTCTCACTACGGGGCGCCTGGGTGGCGCAGTCGGTTAAGCGTCCGACTTCAGCCAGGTCACGATCTCGCGGTCCGTGAGTTCGAGCCCCGCGTCGGGCTCTGGGCTGATGGCTCAGAGCCTGGAGCCTGTTTCCGATTCTGTGTCTCCCTCTCTCTCTGCCCCTCCCCCGTTCATGCTCTGTCTCTCTCTGTCCCAAAAATAAATAAACGTTGAAAAAAAAAAAATTAAAAAATAAAAAAAAATAAATATTTTCTCACTGGAACTTCCATAAGCGAGTATACTTATTAATTGAACGAGTAACGTTTTTAGAGAACTCATTTAAGAAAATGTTTAAAATTACCTTTTAGATTAGCAATTCTTTTAGTACCCACCATTTTTAAGTTTGATGAAATTCTGTTACTGATCACCATATGCTTTTATTTCTTCCAAGAGTTTCACCGCACCATAAAGCATTTATAATATATGTATGCATATATGTAAAGGGGTGTGTGTATGTTTGTGTGTGTATATGTATAATTTTAATAATCTCCAGAGACCATGGTTCTGTGGCCCAGGACATGTGTTGTGACTGTTACCTTACAAATGGAGGGAAAAAAAAACGACACTTGCAAAGATGGGTGACTTTGCATCAAAATAGAATGTTGGGTTCAAAACTCCCAAGCTTTGCTTGGTTCCTGAGGTTATACTATTACCGTCTGCGAGTGACAGTCTGCCTGAGTAAGTCAGTATGGGAAGATCGAGTCATCACATAGACAGGTTTTAATTTGGTGCTGTCCCTTACTAGCTTTGTGACTTGAACAAATCACCTAACTGCTTAACTCCTTTATGTGAGTACTGAAAACTTGATTACTGTCAAGGCTCAATGAGAAAAGAATATACATGAATATTTCATGGCACAGAGTAGGTGCTCAGTAAATATTAATCCCTTTTTCACTTGCCTACTCAGATGAGCTACTTGGTTTCGCTGAGGCCCTTAAAAAACAAGAGATTCAGGACACGTGTTCTCTGGAACTAAATAGCTGTCTTGGAAAATAGCTGGCAAAAAATAATATAGCTCAGTAGTTTGTCATCTTTTCAGGAATATGTGTTGCTTTTTATTTGGAAACATGACAGTATGAAGGGATTATCTAAGTTGGATTTATTTTTCTGCATCAATATGACTGGATAGCCTTGAAAGCCAGAATATTCAAACATGCTAACTGTTGTATTTTCACAATAAATCTAGATGGCTAAAACATTAGTTAAAAGGATAATACATTGAAGTGACCACTTACTGATAGCCCATAGCGCCTTCATTTTCTCAGTGCAAGTGCTGAGGACCCTAAACGTGTCAGATACACCGCAGAGACTGTGACAGAAGACAACCTCACCACCAGTTTCTGTGATGGCAGGGCCATGCTCTCTAATATTCCAACCATCTGCTTTCCTCAGAAGGCCATCTCTCTTCCAAAATGTAAGGAAACTTAACACAAACAATAGCATGAAGTTTAAGGAAATGTGTTTTTGACTACCACATTTTTTCTGAAACACTTTTGAGGTGTGACTTTTTTTTTCTTAACACGGAGCCATATATTTTGATACAATGAGGCCTGCAAATCTTGGCCATGTTCTAAGAAACCATCAACAATACAACTATTTGGCTACTGGCTGAATTTTAGATGATCATGATAATAATCTTCTTTATTCATCATCGTTTGGATTAACACCTGGGGAAAATCTGAGGCTATCAGGCTTCAACCATAGTTGACTGAAACTTAAGTCTTAGAGGTACTAATGGAAGAAGACAGACGATGGTTAGCCCTTAAGGTAAGAAAGAATGATCAAATATGTGAATGCTACTTATTCCCACTTGTACTGTGGTACACAGGCATTTGTCACTGGAGTAAGAGTTCTGTTCAGGGCCAAGAGGAGTTCCCAGCACTGAAAGTGTACTAGGTCAGCCTAGATCTCAAGTCTAAAACTGGAGAGCTGTTTTAAGGTTTATATATATATAAGGTGTGTGTATATGTGTGTGTATATATATATGATATATATATATCGTATATATATATATATATATACTTATACAGAAGTATACTTATATCTATCTATATATGATATATATTAATTATTGATAAGGAAATGACTCATGTGATTATGAAAGCTGGCAAGTCCAAAATCTTTAGGGCCCAAGTGTCTATTCAAAGACTGTTTGGCAGGAGAATTCTCTTACTCAGGGGACGGTTATGCCTGAAACGGCTTGGACGAGGCCCATCCACATCATGGGGGACGCTCTGCTTTTCTCCGTCTGCCAGTGTAAACGTTGGTTTCATCTGAGAACACTCTCACAGAATGATTTTCAACCAAATATTTGGGTACCTGATGACCTAGTCGCGTTGACACGTAGGCATATGTGCTTGTGAAGTTCCAAAGCTTAGCTCTTTCCTTAGAGCCAGCCATGGCCATAGTTCCGGCAGTTGTTCTGGGCAGTTTGTTAGTAAACTGAACGAACCTCTCTGTGGATCTTGGCCATGTATGGTTTTAGTCACACGTGTGTAATTCAGTGGCTGTTCGGTATCCATTTTTCTGTAGTGGAAATAAAATAGAGGACAAGGAGGTTTGGACTATGTGTGGCACTGGAGCCAAGATCTCTGTTAAATCCCTCCATGAATTTAAAATGCTGTGTGAGCCTTTCCTCTCTCTCTCCATTCCTCTATTTCCTTTCCTCCTGAAGCATGGTTTTTCTAGCATCCTTTGCTTCCCTAGTACGCATATTGAGATGTCTGTCAGCTATGATCAGAGACCCTTGATGGCAACAGTGACTCAGCTTTTTGAGGGAAAAAGAGTGAAGCCTATGAAACCATGGAGGTGTATGAGGTCTGTTTTTACATCAGTGGGAAAGGGATGTGTTTGTAAGAGCCCAACAGCAGAACATGTTCTGCCCTTTTAGACAGAGAACGGCTACCAATACCAACAAAAATGAATTACATTTTACCATCTCTGCAGGAAGCGACGAACCGCAGTCTGGTTAAATAGTGCCAACATCACTGCACTTGTCACTGGTACTCCGCCAAAGTGCTCTTGCTAAAACTAGCTGCATCAGGATAGTGCTCCAATGAAGGCTGGGTTTGATTAAAATAGCAGTGGGTGACAGCTTTATGGGAGCAAGAGCTTTGTGAAGGATCTAGGTCATGTTATAATTTGGGAATTTCCATCCTAATTTTTTTCCTTTTGTGCCAAACATGACCCTGAAGCAGTTCCTCAATTCCTAACTTCTTTTGGTGGTTTGACAATGACATTGCTTGACTCTCGGATGACCTACAATTCTTAGATTTTATTTAGCGTTGAACAGAATAGCTGGATTTCCTTGGTTGTCCCCGAGGGTTGCATTTCTCCTAGAAATGCAGCCGCCAGCTCTGAATGATCGCTTTAATATTTGGGTGTGATTGTTGCTTGGTCAGTTGTGACTGGAGCACAGAACCTCAGTGTTCTGCTATCACAGATGGCCACACCTAAATGCTCTCCCCAAGAAAATAAATGCCCCAAGACTAGTGAGAATAAGATTTGGCAGTCTTTGCCAATAACAGTCCAAGGATCGAAATTACAAGCTAAACTAAACATCCAACGCTTTTATGCCAGAACATTTATCTTCCAGAAAGATAATTATGTGGTATGATTGTCAAGAAACTTTTCTAAGCTTAAAAACCAGAGTCAGGTAGTTTTATGACCACTGCCCTTTCTACTTGCTGTGAACCTAGTGGCTTCTATCCTCTGAGGATCACAGCCAGGGGTCAATAGCAGGTGCATGCCTCATTGACAAGAACAGAAGGGTGAAATTGGTGGGGTGTTCAGCCTGAAGCTGAGGAATAAGAGAAGGCCGCCCCCTCTCCCTTTATTCTAGCAGATATAAAACTAAGGGCTGCAGTTTGAGAAGATTAAATCAGTCTGCTTCAGAGGGGATTAGTTACCTAGATGTGTCATGAGACTGAAGCCAGAGAAATGCCACAGGGGTCTGAAGGAGAGAGGAAATCTTTGAGGCTGAGCTACCTGATAGCTAATCCATCCTTCGTGTCAAGATGTAATATAGGTCAGTTCAACATCCACAGTTCAACAACCAAAATATCAGTTGAATGCTGGTTTGTTCTCATTTCTGATGGGTACATTGATAAGAGAAGGCTGAATAGGCAGTTGGGAAACTAAATCAAGGGTAAAGACATCTATACAATAGCAGGTTCCAATCAACATCCCCAGGCTACATCTAATAATCTAACCACATTGTCTATTGAATGATCTACTTAAATGACCTAAAGGAAACACCTGAAAAGGAGAGCCTGTAATCACATCAAAGTAAAGGTTGCCTTGGTAAGCATTTTCTCTTGGACACTCTAAGCTTCATTGTTATCCATTACAGTGATTACCTGGGTCCCTTCCCTGTCTTTCCTGGGGCACCGAAGAAGACAATTTTCATTCTGGTTTAGCTCAGTACATCTATTGCAACCCTTTCTGCTGGTGGTTCACAGGATGCCTACTTCTTGTACATAGGGTTATAAAGGGCAAGTTTCCGTTTACCAAAGCAAAATCCGTCCTTTCCTTTCTCTGGGTAAAGGAGTCAGGAATACCTGCTTGACTCATTCTTAAATGTTTTGTTGGGTAAGTTCATATTTCAGAGCCAGCTGTACAGCACAATTGCTTAATTATAGCATAAACTCTGCATAGCAAAATGAAAATGGCAACAGCAGGATAGCATGCTAGTGCAAAGCATTCTTAAGTTGTCATGCAGTTTACTACTGCTTGCTAATCCTCCCAAGTAGTTTTAATATTAAAAACCCATTT